CTTAACAGAAAGACCTATAAGTGTCTATTTTATGGCCCTTTCATCGTCATGGCAGCTCTGCTGAGGATGGCCAGGATGCGTTTTTAACTCGCATGTTTATGTGACCAATGCAGAATTGAACGCTAATGAGCGCGTGCTTCCCGTATCTGTAGCAAATACAATTTACAACAAGTTTTTCTATATTCTGTGATCTGCACAAACAAAGCGTTGAGCTTGCACCTACGAATGGTGGTTTGCTATGTAAACAGCATTCACGGACCGAGTGTGAACATACCAAACATTCTTTTATACACTGCCACCACTGTGCGTTTCATTTTTTAATCCTCACCACTGCCATTTCAAAAGGACTATCTGGGTACATGCCAGACACTACAGTTTCTCATTTAATAAGCAATGTTCCCTTGACTGAATTATTGTAACAAGCTTAGTGCCATATCTCACAGGTATAGTTTTACCCACATTCTTCGCTGGTTTGTGCTTGTAGACCTGCTTTGCATGGAAGGAATGTCACTTCGTAAGCAGTCGACCGTGGTTTCTAAACTTGCCATCTTGTGCCTCGGAACCGGGTGTTCTGAAAGACGTGGACTCAAGGGAGCATCGTGCGTGCAGGCGGGCGTGCGTGTGTGTGTGTGCGTGCCAGTCTTCTGCCCATGATAGAAACTGCAACAATGCAGGCTTGAAATTAAGAAACTTTTTAGTTTATTTTTAAATTCAGAGGTCACCCCTTTGATTCCATTTTCCGGTGTGGCAGTTGAAACGAGAAGCGAATTTCATTAAAACCGCTGACCAGTGTTCACGGGTAAACCACACCGCAGGTCACGTGTCTCGTCGTAGTGTGGGTCGTTCCACCTGTTCCAACATGTCTGCTCCACGTGGAATGTGTGACCAATTACTCTCATGGAGGCCCTTCCATCAGCAGTGGCATGAGCAAGCAATTGCAGGGCTGTACCTTCACCAATTTAAAGATGTTTTTTTTTACCGAAAAGTCACCGGTGATTGAGTGTCAGCCAGTGGAAGGATTGCACCCGAGAGCATGACGATTGTGGAGATGGAGCGATGAAATGAGCTCTTGTGTAGGAGTGAAGGATTGTGATATCTCAAGACCGCCAGGGATGGTGATAGCGTAGGGAAATCTTCAACCAACAGTGGCTAGAACGTGGTTAATGTTTCACATATTTACCTACTGGAACCCGACATTTAGCAGGGACTGCTTTAAGAAATAAAGCGGATTGTGTTCTCCCAAGCTGATAATTGACTAAACCAGTTGTTGACAATGATAGTTTGTGTAAATTAAGAGTAATCTCCGCTGAGTTCCGGTCTGATGTTTCAGCGCAGCGATGGTGAGCTGCAGTCGACAGTGTACACTGAAGCAGCAGGCTTTCTGTTGTTTTTGTTGTCGCTGCCGCAAGAACACAGCCAGCAGCACAGGCTGCCCGGGAGGCAGCTTGCGGCTTGCTGGTGGCACTTGGAGGGGCAATGAAGGTCGTCGAGGGCGGGAGGGAGAGGCTTAGGGGGCACAGACGGGTGTGTGGGAGGGGAGTACTCGGGCGTGCGATCAAACCCGGCCCGTGTCTGTTCCATCATGCGTTTTTCTATTGTTTATAAATTAAATATATTTTTTTTAACTTATCACCACCGGCACCCCCAGCAATTCGATTAATTTTCGCAATTCAGGATGGCTGTTAGATTCAAGAATCACGTTTGTTTTCGTCTTAAATTGTGGTAACGTGGCGGCCACTATTGGCTGCAGGAGTCATGTAAAACAATTATTTTACATAATACAACTTTGACTTGTGCGATGTGGTGCGTGTTTCTTGATGTTAACCGATCTTCATGAATCAACCAGTGAATCATTGCACCTGTTATTTTCTAAATGTTTTTGTTAAATGTATTTAAAACATTATGGTAATATAGTATTTTGCCTGCAGTATAAAAAAATACTTTTCAACGTAGATTAATCCTTAATGGATGAATGATGTTAAATGCCTCAACTTTTGGCGGGTGGGCTTATTCAGTAGTGTTCCATATCATTCTCAAGTTATGAACATTCTTGCAGATGGTTTGAAATGGCAATTATTCAAAAACATAATTAATTTCTGGCTGCGGGCTGCCATTTTAATCTGCGAGTAGCCCATGAACCACTGGTGTGGAGCTCTCCTGAGGGTGCAGCTTACAGCGTCCGGGAAACACGTGGAATTGGAGCCCAAAGTGTGCTCCTGCTGTACGCGCGCACCGCCATGTCCGTCATCACGCCGCTGACAACACCTCCGATTCGTGCGGTTGGCTTCGTACGGCGCGAAAGAAGCTCAACATCCGTGCATACGTACAACACAATGCGCTTTCTCCCACAGACGTTGCGTGTGCACCGTGCGCAAGGCTTGGCAGAGTCTGCTTATAGTTGATAAATGAAAAGTGAAACGTTCACTTGTAGCCGTGTTGGTTTACGTCCCCATTGTGTTGACTCCGTTTACCGTCGCAGGTGCAGGCGTGCGTGCGTCTGTGTACGACAGGGTGGAGCCCGAGTGTAGTGGCTAGCTCGCTGCGCAACCTGTGTTCGATTTCCGCTCATGGCCAACATCGGTGACAAATACGTGAACCGGTCCTAGGTTGAGGCAGCCTCAAATGAACACCTGACGTAATGTGTAAACGATAGCACTGGGGCGACAAAGGGTGGCCGCTCGTTGTTCAACCTGCACCACCCTGTCACCCGCCTTGCCGATATTAGTAGGTGCTCGCGACCAGGCCTTGCCCCATGTATGTATGTTGAACTTCTTTCCCACCGTACGTAGCCAACCGTGCTAATCGGAGGTGCCTGGGAAGGACAATAAAAAACAGTCTGTTAAAGGCTACTACACTGGGAATCTTTCTATTAGTGTGTGTGTATGAAAACCTTGTTTTGCATGGCAATGTAACATTTCGTGTTGTAGTTCTATGCATGTGCGTGTGTGTGTGCGCACGCACGCGTTAAGCATTACCGTGAGAGATCAGAGTATAGAATCCTGATCTTCGAGGCACCTTCCCGGTATTTTCTGGATTTGTGACATTCTCACTAAATTCCTAATTAGCATTACAGAATGCCACTTGGCCCGGATTCCATTGGATGCTTCATTTTACATTTTGTCTGCCGGTCCCCTTGTGAAGAAGAAGAAGAGAAAAAAATTGTGCGTCGACAATTGGTTCTGCTTGCATGCACTGACGATTGTAGATCATTCTCCCTTAAACAAATCTATAGCCATCGGACCTCCAAGGGATCCATAACAAATTTCCTTCAGCACGGCTGACGGTAAAGAAATAACTAGCGGAGCATCACAGCTGTAAATCTGATAGCCGAGCAGCAGAACAGGATACATGTCTTTCCCTTCTAGTTAATCTTGCACATCTCATCAGGGTCTTCGTGAAGGAGTGTCGAAGTCGCCCATTCTTAATTGTGCAGCTGATAAATGTAAGCGTGGCCGGGTAAGAATTAGGAGTCGTCGTCCTGTGTATTTAGTGATTCGGGTACTCACTTTCGCCATGCTGCAAGCGGACGGCTTAATTCATCAATGTGATTTTGCTTTTGTTGGTTCCAAGTGGTTTCATTTTATTCCACAGTATATTTATAGGGCGGTGACGCAGCCCATTGGTAGGATGCTCGCCGCTTGTTGCAGAGTTTCACGGTTCGAATCCGGCGACCGCCCTAGTTATTCGCCATCATCACCATCCAGATAGCTCGTAAGTGTCCACTGCACATTTCGTCATTTGTTTTCACTTTCCTCTGCTTTATGCCAAAAGCTCTCTTATGTCGTCGTCAAGCGATTCTCTGTTAGTTCTTTCTCTCTTTCCTGTTCCTTCCATTTTTCCGAAACGACACATTTGGAAATTTTCTTGTGTCGAAATAGTGTCAGTCTCCTTCTCATGACTGCCCGCATCATCAGGTCTTCTTCTATGTGCAAACCTTTTTCTTCTACGTTGGTCACTCGTATCATCACTGCGTGCGTCGTAACCGTAATAACACCGCGCTCCGCTTCGCAGTGGATGGTGCCTTGAGGCATTCGTGGAAGGTGTCTTAGAAATGAATGTAAATTATTATTATTGTTTTATATATTTTAAAATTATTTTATTGTTTCCCTTCTATGTGACTTTACCGAAAGAACCAAGAATATAAATCCCTGCAGTCACGAAAGCTTTAAATCCAATTTTTTTTTATTATTGTTAAAGATCCTCTGGCATCATTCGCTGGAGCAGGCCGTTCCGTGCCGGCGTTACGGTCCAATTGTGCAAAATGCTGGACATCCATGCTCAACAACATACTCTGCAACCCGAAAACACAGCGGGGCTGCGAAAACCGATGTATTAGCAGCATTATATTTATTAATAACGGCTTGCATGCACGCTTTTGAAAACCTTCTAAGTGCAAATTAATCCGGACCGTCGGCAACTTTGATCTCATGTTCGTTTTTCTTTGTAAATGCGTGCGCGCAACAGATTTGTATTAACGACGCGATTCCACTACTTGGATGGGTGCTCGACGCTGATAAATATGGCTTTGCTTTGATAAAGAAAAAAATACATTGCTAAAAAGCTCTCTTGTGTGTGTTCATTTGTCATAACAATTGCATTGAGATTGTGGCTTCGGCTCACCTCTAGACAAAGTACATCATCCATGGCTTTTTCAATATTCTTTGGTTCTTTCGGTAAAGTCACGTAGATAGAAAATGTAAAGACCACGACGTTTCGATCGCAGCACAAGCGACCGTCTTCAGGTGACAATCTTGAACGACGCTCTGCATTCACCAGTAAACGACAAGCCTCGCCAGACGCGGGAGTACAGCATTGTAAAGGATGCGCAGAGTGTTTTGGTTAATCTTCCGATTACATAGCTGCTATCGTTTAACTCATCAGTCAGTATTCTTGGTTCTTTCGGTAAAGTCACGTAGAAGGGAAACAATAAAATAAACTTCATTGTTTCCCTTCTACGTGGCTAAATAAATTTTATTGTTTCCCTTCTACGTGACTTTACCGAAAGAACCAAGAATATGAATCCCTGCAGTCACGAAAGTTTTAAATCAAAATTCATCAGTCAGTGTCAACTTTTCTGGGTAATAATTTTCTGAAAGTGTCTATTGAGGCCTGCAGTATTGCTCAGATGTAGGCCGAGTTACAATTACGACATGGGCAATTAAACAGCCTTTGTCAAACCACATCACCTTCCTCCTAAGCGTCTCGTAGCCAAAATATAAAGAAAGCATTACGGTGTCGGTGTACACGCTGTTATTAGTGCGGTACCACAGATTTTTAGTGACTTTCCAGTCAATCTCAGTGTTACAAAACATCAATATTCCCTTAATTCATGTGAAATCCAGTAGCCTGTTGCATTAAACACTTTTTGTATTGAATTGCACCACTTTAAACGTCAGGCTAAGGAATATATGCACAATGAATTTAATGCAACCAGCCGTTGGGGCCTTAATACATTTCCTAAGTACGTACAATAAATGCACATGTGCAGTCAGCAGAATCGATCTACCCGATGGTGATGATTCGGTCCTCGCCATCCAGGTTGTATTCTGATTTATGTTTACTTCATTGCTGTACCGTTTTTTTAACTTATTTTGCTTTAGTCGTTTTGGTGACCCGGGTCACTCGTGCGTTCTGACCCGGTGACAAGTGAACGTAACTTGACCATCTATCCACTGCTGGAGGAGGGCTTCCTCAAGTTGTTGCCATACCTCATGGTCACGGCAATGCTCGCGAGCCGTGATGACGGCTCGTGCTCGCGAACCGATCTCGTAGCGCCACCACCTCAATTTGGACGTCCACTTAGTCGTGTTTACTTCCTTTTGCTGCCATTTATTTACCCCGTCCACCAACCATCATCCCTTCTAGCGGCAGCCAATGTCGTTTCTTCACATTACCAAAATGAAATGTTTTCCTGCGCTGTTTTGAAAAAATATGTATGCTTATGTAATTGAACATCAGTATTGTTGGGTACAAGTTGGAGGATTATGCTGCTAAACAGGTCTTAAATATGTGTATGAGTGTAAATAATATCGACCACGTGCAACCGTTTGGTTTTGGCATTCACACGGATGCTTGGAGCATCTACGTCTTGCTTTGCGGGCACAGGCACAGCACCTACTGCACAGAGCAATGCGCGCGGTGAGAGAAATCCCTTCGCCGGGTGTCGTTTTGTGTCCGACTTGTTAATTCTGCTCACCGCCGGGCAGCAGATTGCCACTTGGAACTAACAACGTAATTGAAGCAAATACCATGAAGTACAAATGGATGCTGCAGAAATTGCCTGCAGAAGCAGCTTAATTTACTCGAGATATAACCGCAGTCCCAGACATGAACGTTTTGAAATTTCCTCCGCCGAAGCGGGCGAGCGCCGTTCGCAAACGTATGCACCACTCGCATTCTGCTCCCGAACGTGTGGCCCTAATGGCCCTGCCGTGTCTCTGCCGTTTGGCTCTTCCACTCGGTGCTGACGGCTCCCCTTGCTGAGCCGTTCACGGTGCCCCGATGCTAGCCGGCACGTCTCGCCGCGTCTTCGTCCCTGCCCGAGATGCCCGTGTTAAGTTATTTTTGTCTAAAAATAATGGGCTTGCTGTGTTGCCGCCAGCAGCATCTGTTGTCTGGATTGTGGTTAGTGGCTGGGCAGCAGCAACATCATCAGCAGCACCAACAGCAAAACTATGGCCTTCCCAAAGAAACATGCTGCGATTTCACGCTTCATTATTCCGTGCAGATTTTATTGGCTCGTGTGCAATGCTTGGGGAGGACAAAGATGTTGGCTTAGGAGAGTTGGGGTCTGCGACTAGGCCTGAACGAAATAAACCCCCCCTCCCCTCTTTATTAACGTTATTACCATGAAACCGGCAGTTATGACATCTGCCGCAAATCTCCGAGAGAATGTCAGCCTCTCTGAGCATTGCGCGTGTGCCCGCGCTTGTACGAGCGCCGTCCACGCGTACAAGCCTGCCGGATGGGATCACAGGAGCATGTAGAAAGATTTAACCTGTGGATTCACATTTTATTGCCCTTATGATTGAATTTCAGTCACACATAAAGCAAGTTGGCTCAGTATTGCTCGGTGGCATCCCTGGTTATTTATGGTCCATTTCCCCCCCCCCCCCCCGTACTGCCTTTAATTTACTGAAGACCACGAAGCGCTTGCTGCAATAAATATTTACTGTGCGTGAGTGAGGCTGGCAGAAATTACAAGGCCGTGCCAAATACAGCAAGTACGCTTCCTTGGCATTTACAACTTTTACATTGCATTTGTTCCTTTCAACCAACTTTGGTTAGCACCGTCGTTTGATGCTCTTTAAAACCCAACAAATTTTCCTTTTTTGCCCCGGACACTTAATGTCCGTTTGTCGGTATCAGCCTGGTGCATGTTTTAGTAGTCCATTTGCTCATGCATTGATTAGCTTACGTACTCATTCACATATATATCGGATGTACTCAATAGGCGAGTGCCGCCTGGATTTGAGTTCATTACGGCAGGTTTGTTGGTAAATATGCCGCACGTACCGAATAGCGTCAAGGATTTTTTTTAATCTTCTAAGGCGTCAACGAGTAGGGTTAGCGAGTGATGAGCCCGCACAACCACGTTCTTAAGTTCAGTGAGTTTATGGTCTCTGCCCAGTCGCCAACAACGGCATGAAAGAGCCCAACATGTAATGTTTTATATTGTCCAGCTACCTGTGATGGGCTACCATTATTTTTTATAACAGGGAACGTGGGAAAGTGCAATGCCTATGTCATTAAAGCAAGAGGTCACGTGAATGGATCTCAGTATGTACGTATGTATGTTGAACTCCTTTCACACCGTACGTAGCCAACCGTGCCAATTGGAGGTCTGGATAGGTGCATGGTGTCTCTTCCACGGACCATTCTGTAACACACAACGTCCATGTTGCCATCAAATTGAGAAAAAAGGGGGGGGGAATAATACATTTCAGGCAACTTTCTCACAAGTAATGTTATTTATAATGTTATTTTGAAACCGTACGGACATTTTAAAAAATGGGATTTCTCCTTGATCAACTTGCGTACATCATATTTCTGCATTTCGCTTTTAAAAAAGTGTAACCTCCACTTTAAGAGTTCAGGGAGGAGTGGATTGGTCTAGGGGCATTTGAAAGCTAATTAAATGTGGTGTTGTGAAGGCTTCGGGCTGTTCTATCCCGTTGCTCACTCCGAATGGCTTGCACACCCGAATCTGAACGTGCGCGAGCATCGTGCGCTTGTGCAGTCATTTATGCTATCGCTTAGATTTCACCAACCATGGCAATCGTTAATTATTTAGTAATTTGACTTGATGCAGTTTTTTTTTCGTCATCCGAATGCTACGCATTTGTCATGCCGTTTTACACTTGGCTCGCATCGGCGACACGTGCTGCATGCAGAATCATCCCATAAATGAGATGTTGCCTCCTAGTTGCGCATCACGAAAAAAAGGGGTTTATATAATAATAAAAAATATGAGTAGTAATCGGTGTCAAGCAGATGGCGGGGCTTTCTGCGCACGAGCAGAGGAGGCATCCCAAATGCGCAGTGTGCCGTGTGGCAAACGCGCAAGCAGCGCATCGTAATGTATCCCATTCCTTTGACATTTAAATGTTTGAATAAACGGGTCGCTGTTAACAGACATTGCTGCGCACGCCTTGGTAACGTTGCCTGCGTGCCAACGCAATTCCACCCTTTTTGGGGTTTACGCACGCCGAAGACCAGTGGCACGGACGTTGCGTCCCTCACTTCTTGAAACGGAAATACGTCGCTTCGAGATTATTCCTGGCGTGAAAATATGAAGTGAGCAAGGAATGGCGGAGTGTAGCAGACGGCGTCCCCCAAAGTGTTAGCGCAGCTTATTAGTAGCAATTCGTATAAACGTCAATCATTCTCGCGTGGTGCGCGCCGTGTTAACCCCTTCCAGTCTTTTACGCTGTGCGGTTTACATTTTTCGCAAGGGTCTTCACCACCAAACCACGTCTTCTTGAACTCCAAGCGGTTTCAATTAAAAGGTTATTTTAAACGAGTGGAAATGCACGTGCAAGTTCCCCTCGATTAGCCGTGTATTTTAAGTGCTCACGCTATCGGTGCTTCCATCGAGCCGCCAGCGGGGAACTACTTTCACGACGGAGGCGGGGGGGGGGGGGGGAGAGGTCCTCTCTGTTGACGAGATGATCGCTCTTCCACGGCGAAAGCGGTCCACGTTGCCTGGAGACGGCGCGCCGGTGACTCATGCCAGTCACAAACGATGACCAGGGCGCCGCTAGCTGGTTAGGGTGTCGAACCCGAGAGAGCAAGCCTCCGAGGCGCACTTGCAGACCCATTTGGCACCATTTCATCGCCTGCCGTTGTGGAGAGAAGGCTTTCACAAGGCACTCAGCCCGTTGAAGAGACCGCTTTGACTGCATGCCTGCAGCTTCTTGTACAATAGAACAGGGGCCACTTTACTGGTTTTAATGATGCACACAAGAAGAGGATCATGTACGACCTGGTCCCTACTTGAAAAAAAAAACACCCCCTGCCATTGTCTTTCCTGTAGCATGATCAAACGTCACGCTATCATATGGAACATCCATCCCTTGTCTCTGATGCAGATGGAGCGTGCATTGTTAAGCCTGCCAAAGCTTTGCAGCTTTGCAACAAGCAATGCAGAAGTTGTGGGCCATTGGGTAATGACAGGGTTATGGCTTTAGACCTTGGGTTCCAGTCGCTTGGTGATCTCCAGGTCATTTTTGAACATGTGACGTGTTTGAGTATTCTCACCCCTGGTTGGAAATGAGGATAAAAAAAAATCTAAGTTTTAAAAATGTATGCGCAAAATTTAAAAGGGTGTTTTAGCACCCGCATTATTATTATTGCAATGTGACAACGAGTAGGACTCTGTGGCACTGGTTTATTGGTTATTACCATTATGTCGCATTGCCTGGCTATTGAAAACTATCCAGTGGGTTGCTTCCAAACTGCCAGAATGCTTCCAATATGTAGATTGTTGATTTGTTTTGCATGTACATTATAAATCTATATCGCACAGGGTTGAAGCACTGCTGGTGAACAAGAAATTCAAGATAATTTATTCAGCTGCAAAGGGCCAATACCTGGCCACGAGTGGGACTCCTCCCTTATATTTAATCTCTGCTTTCAACTCTCTCGTATTGCCAGAGCCACCAAATGTTGATGACTATAAATAATCTCGATGTTAATATATTTTGTCACAAACTAAGAGATGTGCGGCGCTCAACCGTGCATTGTTTCTGTTCTCACGTATTTTCATGCTTTTGTCTTTGGTAACCTCTTTGTCGTAGTGCCGATGTGGTTTGAAGCATGAAAATAGGTTGCCGAGCCAATCCAGTTGCAATCCTTCTGACTGTTCCGTGTAAATAAAAAAATGATAAATGCAAAAATAATATTTGTTTATTTGTTATGAGTTTAGTGCCTGCAGGTGTCTTCAAAAGGTTTGGCAAAAGGTTTTCACCTTATCTCAGAAATTACTTGCAACAGATACCAGACAACGGTTCAAAAGGTTATCCACGGGGCGATTGTTCAGTGACCTCACAATGCCACGCGCGTTCCTCTGTCCGGCATTACCTCCTAATTGGGTGTTCCTGTTTTGATGCTGTTAGATAGGGTGGGGGGGCACGCAGGCCGAACACAATATGGTTACTTGCTCAGGATATGAGGCTTGTAGGCTGTGTTCCAGAAAACATTTCCACGTCGTGTCGTTTTGTTGATTCCCCTTTGCATGTTTGTTGTTGCTGCAAGTGTGCTGGTCGACGGTGGGGCATTTAATTGGCAGGCGCTACAACTTTTTCCACCAACACCATTCCTTGTAGATTTGCAGACAGCTGTGGTGGCATATTCCATTGTTTCTTTGCAAATATACTCTGGATTTGTAAATAAAATATGTTTTGACCAATTAGGTGAGTTCCTTTGTTTTTTTAGGAAAGCGGCGGTAAGAGCAGATATGAAAGAGAGAGTTTGGTTAACTTGTCAGAATTTTTAATCTCTCTGAGCCGGTGACGATTCAAATGTGCACGTGCTGCCCCAATGCCCATGAATGCTTTCATCCTTCCATCTGCCTGCTTGGAAAGGGATGCCAATTCACTGTGATGGTGGTGGCGGCATTTTCGCCCGAAAAAATCGCACGGCCTTCACAGCGCACAGCCATCATTCAGTATGTTTACACCCTGTCATTTTAAGACAGTTTATTTTCGCTTGCGCATTGCCGCCTTGTTAAGCAGCAGTCGGGCTGCACTTCTTTGCGAACGGTCCCTGTGGTATTCAGCTTTTAAGTTAATGGGAGCAGCAGCAACAATTAAGTAATTAAATAAATACTGCATGAAGCTATTTTGATGGTCACTTGACCGGAGAAGCTGATGCTGGCCCTAACTTGGCACGGCCACTTTACGCTCATTAGTTTAATCCTTGGGGACCGGGAAATGCGCAATGCACAGCTTGTTTCTCTGATCCACAGAACTCGGTGAAATTCATTAAGATGGTTTATGTAAAAATGTTGTGAAATTTAAATAATACGATTCACCACATTTGTAAGAACAGACGCTTTTTTTTTTCTTAACGTTGACATATTCTGTCGCTTGGAAATGGCTGGCTGCACACAAAATTTATCAACATTCATGAGAAGGTCGCAGGGTTTTTTTTCACAAGGGTTAAGAAGAGCTTTGGAAGGAAATTGTATCGGCGGGATGATATTAGCTGAACACAGATTGAGTGAATTTGTAAAGTACCTCGACATTATTTCCCATGTGCTCACTTTGCTTCGCATATTCACAGCCGGTTTGAGCACAGACCAGACGGCGCATTGAGCTCATCGGTTGTCCTGAGGTGGCTAAGTCACTTAATGTCTTGTCGAGGCTGTGTGCGGGGAGAGAACAAAATTAATCGCAAAGGGTAGTGATTAAACCTTTCTTGCCAAGCTTCATTTGCCCGCCACAAGCTCTACGCTGAAGCCGTGAGATTTTGGCCACTGCAACGGAAATGGCTTCTCCCCCAAACTCTTGTGCCATCACTGCTCTGTGAAAGCGGCTTTGACCGAGCTAAAAGCTTATACAAAATAATGGATTTTCTGTTCTCCCTACCCCAGCCGAGCTCAACTGAGTTTAGTGCCATGCTCTTGAAGGTTTTTGAATACAACTAGTTCAAAGTCAATAGTTTGGAAAGTAAACAAGCTTTGCTGTGAAGAGATGTCTTCGTCTGAATGTTTAAATTGCCCGCACGATACACAACGATCGGTGTGCGGCAACTTTAGTCTAATGTTGAACGCGCAACCACTGTCGCAATCTCGTGTTTTCCTTTTGCCGTGTTTGGCACTAGGCCAGCCGTAAGTCGGTTGATTCGGTAAAAGGCTTGCCTTGGCCACTGTGGGTCATTGTTTTTTTCGTGTACCCTAAACATTCGTGCTTCCAGGCGAGCAGTGTGGCCTGTGGCGTGTGATGCCTGTGGCTGGTTTGATGCTCCGTTGCCTTTTATGCACCTCTGGGGAGAAGCGATGGTGTGATATTTCAACTTGTTACTGTGAGTAAGAACGGCAGCAGACGCTGCCCGTTCTGCGAAATCACAGCAATGTCTCGCTGATTGCAAAGTGAGCCACTTACGCCGTGGTCTGGCTAGTTCATAAAACGAGGAAGAAAAATCATGCACATGTATGGATCCTATTAATGCTTTTCAACATGCGGTTGTCCTCAGAGGGAGGTATTTAAATTGGAATAAAAAAACGCTACTTTACGATCCGCACTTGAGGACGGCACACGCGTGGCATGTGAAGACGCGAGATGACATCACGCAATAACGACACGGGGAGGCGATGCGCGCAAAATGGCATGTAACTTCATCGTCTTGGTCGAAAAGGCTTAACTACTTCTTGCCGGTTTTTAATCGGTGAGCTTTGGGCAACACTTTGATCCGTTTGACCGGCTTTCAATCACGTTTAGTCCTCAATCGCAACGCAAATGTATACTAAAACCTAATTTATATTGGATCACCTTTACGAGAATGATCGTGTGCCCCTCCTGCTACAGACAGACCGACGGAGCTCCTGCTTAAACGTATTCTACCCCAGTTGTAAATCGTAAAAAAATAACATCCATGGTTCATTTTTCTTAACTGCCTTACGGTGCCGTGCGCAGTTGTTCATCCTTGCAGTGGTTCATGCTGTGCGCTGATACCTTTAATGTAAATTGTACAAGAAACCATCAATCGTTCAATTAACTGCATCGGACATACCTGGCAGTGCACCGTCTGCGAGACCTGTGCTGCAATTCTCAATTTTTTATCAGATTTTTATTGCCAAGCTTCTCCACGTGTGCGTGTGTGCACATACAGAGCAGTTCATATATACCTATAATACTGTACTCGTTCGCTACGTAGCTATCTAAAGCATATGCGCACTTGGAGAAGAGCAGGCAACTGGAATTGCCATCTCTCCTTTCGCTCTGCGACAGTAAACAAATCCCCTTGTTATTTCTAATTGGTTTGTTATTCTTTGTGTACGTTCAGTAAAACAGCAGAATAATACTTCGTGTTATAATGTGAGGGGGGAAGCAGTTGTGCTGTAGTGGCTAGCGTGCGGCACCGTGAACCCAGCATACAGGAGGGCTGATACCGACCCGCTGCTTAAATCGGTGGCTGACATCGGAGTGATATCTGCACGGGTCCTGGCCATCCTCCCATCACCAACCCGCACTGCCCAGCATGCTGAAGTCCCGTCAAACAACCCCTGGGGCTGACACGGTGTGCGGAGGCCTTAATTCAGGTGGAATTGACAAAAGGCTGTGAAATTATTGTTTTTGTTATTATCGTTCATATAAATTATTCAACTAAATTTTAAAAAAATACCAGGTGAAGAAGCGATCTGGCTGCCACAGATGTTAGCACAACAAAGTGGTTTGTCATGTGGATATTCATAGCAGCCAAATACTCTAAACCCATGTCTCGAAATGTGGAGGGAAAAACCGGAGAACCTGGATAAATATCCACACGACCAGCGAGAGAGAACATGCAAACTCCAAATATACAGCAGGAGTCAGGGTTGTTCTCGAACCCATGTCCTCCTGCATACCACGAGTGGTAGTTAACGTCTCGGCACCCTATGCCCATGAGGTGAACCGCATATGCCATTGTTCTACATTATATCTAATTTAGAGCTGTTGTTTCTGTAAAATATGCTTCAAATTATTGTTAGCCATGCTCAGTCCACTGCTGAGTGATGGCCTACTGAAGGCACCACCGCATCTTCGCAGTGCTTTGTGTAGATCCAAGTAACTCTCGGCGGTGATCTTCAGGGGTTGCGTGCATTTGTGTGGCCTCGTGAGAGCTTGTTTACTTTCAGTTGTTGCTTGAATATTTGTTTGTGGTGCCTAATGCCGTTACTAACGAGTACTATTGGACGGTAACGAATTCGTTTTGTTTTTAGTCGATGCGGCGTTGGGGACTGCATTCTCGGTCGCAATCGATGCAATTATACAACCCTCCGGTAATAAATAGCTCTGGTGGAATACTAAACTCTACAGTTCAATAGCTTAATTTGAAAATTAGCCATTACCCACATGAAATGGTGAAGCAGAGCAATATTTGAAAACGGTGATTGTTGCATGGTGTTGAGTTAAATTGGTGCTGTGTGCGCGCATCCCTTCTTTTGAACTCGGGGACGATGGCGAATGAACCACGCGGTGACCTGACGCCACCATGCTGTTTGTTCGTTCGTTCGCACGCACGCCAATCGCACGCCAATCGCACGCCAATCGGTGCGTTCCGTTGAAAGCGAACATCCGGTCCGTGATTTGCAGAACCGGTCATCGCTTCTGACAGCGGTGTCCGGGTTTCAGTTATCGTTTAACAACATTCGCGTATAAGTTTATGCAGTTTGTCCACGACAACGTAATTAAGCTTCATATTGAATGTTTGTTTGTTAATTTGTCTGCGTTCAATATGTTATGGTTGTTAATAGTTTCAATACGAAACTACAGATGTTTAAAGAACCAATAAAGCATCTCTCATATCAATTCAATTACTGGAACGCGCAGCAAAATTTCATAATCTCGTTTGAGTCACAAGCTGGGTGTCTGCAAAGTCGCGTGTCATAGATTCAGGTTACATCTGGCGCGTAAAATGAATACAATGAAATGAGTAACATTGATTTAACTTAATAGCCTTACACAGATTCAGGACATTGGTCATTATTTGACCTGTAGTCTTCTGGAGGAGCTGGTATTGATGGTGATTTTGTGAAACATCCGTGTGTGTCTGTGTGCATAGATGACCCGCAGAATAGCCGTCAGAGCGCTGTCCGCTAAACCAGCTTGAGAGGGGTCCAAGGTTCGATTTGCGCGTTGGGCTTTCACTTGGTTAACTAAAGGACACTCAATCGCTGATGGAATAACTCATATGCTGACCCTACGGTGCCCTTCTTAAAATGTTGTTTCAGCAAAGGGCATTACGGGTAGTCAAATTAGATTTCCTTCAGCCATAAAGGGATCTTGACTGTCTTGTTGACTAACTCTGCAGTTTTCATTCTGCTGGTCAGTCGGAAGAAATGTTGACACAGCACCGAACAGAACAAATTTGTTGGGCATTTGTGGCCACCCCCTCTGCTTTGATGAGAAGCCGTCATAAAATAACCCTCGCAGGTATATGGACAGCCTGCCAAAGCTTGTCACCGTATTTGTCACCGTTGATTTATCGATTCAGAAACTTTTATGCTCAGATCTCGGTGGCAAAGCAATGCTGTCACTTAATGTATCAGATTGCCGGGAGGCTCTCCCTTCCCAGGAAGAGTTTATTGGCACACTTCTCGGCGTGCGATGTGCCGGCGCCGTGCGTTGGGGCGGGGTGTGCGCACGCTCTCCCCAGCTTTGTCCTTGTGCCGGCCGCTCGGCAGCTCAAGGACCCCAACGCCAGCCAGCGGCCTCTCTTTATCCTCGTATGCCGCCGCTAAATTACCACGGCCCTGGGTCCAGCCGAAGCCACTGCCAAATTACCATGGTAATAGCTTTACCTCCCAACTATCGTTAAATTACCTTGTTGATTGTTTTACCCCCCTGACTAACGCTAATTTGCCATGGTAATTGTTTTTTTTATTTCCATCGACTGCTGTTGAATTGCTGTGGAATTGTTGGCGGTCGCTGGAGCGTGGGGAGGGGCAGGCTTTGTGGTGACCGGAATTGCAGATATTATTCACATGAAGAAACTCAATTTGTTTTTCTGCTTCTCTTAAAAATTTATCCACAATGTGGGAATGGACTTGTGAAAGGGGGTGAATTCCTTGGACAAGAGCGATATTTTTTGTTAATCAAAAACAGAGCACTGATAAACAACGCTGGGCGAGGTTTGTTGTAGATTTTCTCGATATTAATGGGTCTCCTTTTCAACTGGTACGTGGTAATTCTCTTTTGATTACAATGTCAAGATTGCAAGGGTTGCTCGACAGATAAATATCTCATGTAATTTTTGCGTGCCGTGCATGTATAAGGAATCGGAGTGAGACATTGCACAACAATGCAATTTGGATTTATAAAGCATCTAAATGCAAACATTTCTCAGGCCCTTGTACTTTTGTCAGGGTGGGAGGCGGGGGGCGGAGATGCACGTGTCGGATTTATTGAAAGAGGTAATTTTTGGTGGATTGTGGAGGGTGTCGTGCTGGATACAAGGTTAAGAGGTGGACATGAAATGACACCGCGATGCAATAGAGGCAAGAATGAATGCACCGGGTCGGGAGAGGCAGCCGTGAGTGGAGGAAAACAGAGGAGGATTTGACCCTGGACTTAAATAAGGCGAGAGAGTCAACAATGCAATCAGAGGGTGGTGGGGGGTGGGAGGGCAGTTGCAGACAGCAGAGGAGAAGGGGAGCAATCTCTCATTGGGAAGAGGTTGATGATGAGGGGTGTCGAACCGGCAGCGTGACCGTCGCCCAATGGCTGTCGTCGTGAAGGAGACAATTATTTGCCTTTGTGCGATGGTGCGCGTTTTAAGAGCCGCGTCTCGTCTTTGCAAACTTTGACTGATTGACAGGATAATATGGTTTTTGTAATTGCATTCCAGTTAAAGAACAAAGCCAGAAAATGAACCGTGAATAAAATGAGAGCTTTATATGATCTGAGCTTCTCGCAGTGAATGTTAAAGAGTATGAATGTTAACTTCTGGATTTTGGTGACGCGGGGGAAGGACACGTTAAATATTGCATTGACTTCTGCATCAAGGCATATGAAGAATTAATACGATCTTTTTTCTTATCTGACAGTGGTAGTTTCCATAGGATAATAATTGAAACGGTATTTAAACTGATATGCCTATTATGTTTACCGGTCGGCTTTTGAACCGAGCGTATCAGGCACCCCCGTAAATGCACGCTGCCTCAGAACTGTCCTTTTGTGTTTACAATTTTATTCCCTTAAATTGATGGGTAATAAGCAGCAATCGACTAAAAGCATTGTGCGACTGATGGGGCTGAGAGCCACGATAACGAGAGAAAAGTAAATGTGGCGATCCCTCCCGAGAGCTGGGAGGCGACTCATTACTGGAGACTGACCGTGCGATTGGAGAGCACATCGGCCCAGAGGCTCCCTCCCCTTCCTCCCTCCCCCCTCCACCGCTCGCTCCTCAACGCGGCCCTCTCCAACGCCCACCCACCTTTTCATTAGTCCCCACTTGACGTGTGCCTGCGTGCCAGCACGTGGCTCCGGCGCGTTCGGCCACGTTTCCCCCCGGCTTTTACGTTTGCTCTCCGTAATGAGAATTTACTCCGCCGGTATTAGCGGGTGCCCGATCGCCCCACTCCGTTAACGCCGCCGCCACCGTCCTCTTCCCCGGCCGCTGTCTCCGCCGGGGTCTGCGATGAATCGCGTCTAATTGAAATGCTGACGGGCTTCGTGGAAGCCTCGTTTTAGTAGGTTTCTGTCTTGGGCGAGCGTCTGGCTGTGTGGGTGGAAGGAGCCCTCTGTGCAGATGTGCCCAGGAGCTTGGGTCGCCTTGACTCTGGTGTGCAGTCTTCACCCTTCCAACTGCCTTGTTGCTGGCTGTCTTGCGACCAAGCCAAATCAATTCCACCTTCGTTGGATTTCTTGATGAGTGACGCGCAGTCACAATTCTCCATGGACGCGCACGCCCGGGACGCTTTTGCCATTTGAAAGCTTTAAGCAGCAACAAATGCCTTTTTAATGGCAACGCGCGCTTTACCGATTCAGTCCTTTGAATAGCCTCGGGACAATAGCGTCGCAAAAAGAAAGCCTGGCGAACCGAGGATCCGTTTTGCTCATAGAGAGAGAGAGAGAGAGTCTGTCGTCGGGCGATGAGACATATGACTTTCCATAGCAGCCTTACGTCAAACTTGCGCCGGGCTGCCAGCACTCGGCACGCGGATTCCTGCGCAGCACAGCCGTTGCTGTGGGAGCCGTGCTGCAGTTTAACCGCGAGCGCCGAGCGCGGAGCGCCGAGCGCGGAGCGCCGGACGCGTGCCGAGGCTCAAACGGCCACGCGCTGCCGGCAGCAAGCGGCAGCTTTCTCCAGCGCAGCCACTCCATTGGCTCACTGGCAGCCTCGTCACCGAAGGGTTACCACATTTAACACCTCCACGCAAGACGGCTGCAGCCGAGCTACGGTCTGTGTGAAAGAAGGAAGGGACGAGCAGAAGAGGAAGGGAAGGAGAGCGACAGATTAGCCCAGACTTGGCTTAGAAGAATGCGTGCGCCGCATTTTGGCTTGGCCAGTGGAAGAGTGGCGATGTTGAATTCCTAGAGGATTGGATACTCACTTGCGTGTGATGTGCGATTCATATTCCCTGCTGTTCTTTGGTCCCGCGAGTCGTTAAATACTGTCGGCACGACAACCCTCTTTACTCCTGGTGCTTTGTACAAATCTAAGCCGTGTCTTCGTTCGGAAGACGTCCACTTCCTGTATGGCTTGCTACTACCTTGTGATCAGCTCTCCGCATCTCAGCAATGGACATGTTCGGAACATCAAAGGGGTTTTTCGTGGACCCCTCTGCAAAAATGGCAGCTCATCCTTGGTGAGTGTCTCATTTATTATGACTTTTGGATGAATTACCAGCATTTTAAAAACAATACAAAATGCTTGTCGAGAGTGAAGGAAAAATCCTGCTGCAGTATATAATTTAACTAAATAACATTGTGCATAAGAAAACCGAATTGAATTGCGATTGTGCTTAACATATGTTTTACTTATTCTTGGTTCTTTCGGTAAAGTCACGTAAAGGGGAAACAATAAAAAAATAAAAATATAAAACAATAAAATTCTCACGACGTTTCGACTGCAACACAAGCAATCATCATCAGGTGTGAAAACCACAGCAAGAAAATTTTGGTTTTCACACCTGATGATGATTGCTTGTGTTGCAGTCGAAACGTCGTGAGAATTTTATTGTCATATTTTTATTATTTTATTGTTTCCCTTCTACGTGACTTTACCGAAAGAACCAAGAATATGAATCCCCGCAGTCAAGAAAGCTTTAAATCAAAATGTGTTTTACTTGCGAACAATGCTAAATATATTATAATGGTGCAACTGGTTTTGCTTTGGGCGGTGTTGGTGTGAAATGATGCGTCGCCGGCATTGTTGTCGACATAACAGACGACAGAGATTCCAGGTGATTGCATTTTAATTGGAAACCTCGTGACTCAGGGTTCAAAGGTGATTTATCATTGTCACTTTGTTCACATGCAGTCCAACAAACGCCTTCATAAATGTTCCGCGGGTGAGAAATGCATCGCCTTTATGCAGAAAGTGTTTAATAGGACACCTGAAAATTACATTGTTGCGCGGTCGCATGAAAGGGAGCCGGGTTGAATTATTAAGGGAGGCCTCGCAGTGGCATTTGTACCACGGCTGTTGTGCTGACTCCCGCGATCTCTGCGCTCGGTTGTGTAGCGACAGATGCAATTATGGCACCGCGGCCGTGTTGCGTGTGGCTACGTCACGCGTGGCACAGGGCACCGGGCGAAGCGCGCCGTGCGTAATAGCGCCCGTGCCGGACGAGCCAGCGGCCTCTCTGCCGTTTACAGCGGAGAGATTTTGCTCGCATCAACCGGCGCGAAGCGAGCGCGGCCGTCCGCGTGTACCCATGTGACGCGAGCCCTGCAGCGGGGGGAGTCCTGCGGTTTCCGCTCGCGACGTAATTAAAGCGGCGGAGGTGATGGCCCCCACCGCTCGTGACGGGAAGCAGGAGGCGCTCGTTGATATTCACGTTTTGCACTGGCGCGCACCGACAGGCGTGACTGCTGCGGCGCACGGCCATGCGGTTACCGGTGTCGTAGGCGCTAGGAATTGCGACCGACCAAGATAATCCCAATCTTTTTTTTATGGGCTATTAGCGCTCAGCCAAATTCATAGCATTGCGCAAATTACAGAAGGGCATTGCTTTCAAGGGTCTTTTTGCTTTTACTGTTGTTTCGACATGTAAAAAAAAAAATCCGCTTGTGAAAATTGCGATGACGGCTGTTCATTTGTTCCCAATGACGGCTTTGAAAAGTTAATCGTACTCTAGAGAGATTTGAACATCACATCTCCAATAACAACTGTTTCCGCGTTGAGTGTTACAAACAATGAGATGAAATGTAGATTTTGGAGATGGTTTATTATATACATCGTTCATTACAATTGGTGGCAGGGCACTTGAAAATAAGTGTCAAATTGACAAACGCCTAAAACAAACGTTACCCTATTTAATGAAACTTGCAACTGTTCAAGCATTCCCGTCTCTTTACATCCTTGCCTAAAGTGGACAAGGACATCCATTGGAATAGATGCAGCGATTGACTAATTTTCACTGCAAATATGGTCTCTTAAATAATAAAAAAACAAGCCAAATATCCTCCGCTAAGACGCTTTGTTTATTAAATTCTCATTTTGCAACAACAAAATACTGTGCCAGCTTAAAAAAAGTTATTGATAAAAAAACCCCATTGGATATCTTCCTTCCGAAAATGAAAATGTTTGTGTGCTGACTCGGGTGGGCGAGCTGCTCAGTGCGTCGCGAGGCTGTGAGGAGGAGGAGGAGGGTTTGGTGGGGAGGGGGGGGCAGGGGGGCGAGGTGGGGAGGCGGCTCGCGGAGCTGTGCTTAAGCTGCTGCTGCTCCCGTATGGGAGCTCTTAAATCAGACACGTCGCCAAATGGTGCATCGCAATCTTCACACTTCATAACCCGACAAGTTAATGCCTCATGCTGGTGGACAACTCGCTGGGATTTGTCGCCCGCGATGATTGGATTCTTTAAAATGCTAAATAATTCATTTTACAGTTGATCAAACATAACTGTAATTAGGGTCTGAGAGAATCCAGTCATCTTTTTGTGGCGCGTGTTTGACTTGATTGGTGGTTGAGCAGATTAAGGTGATTGAAGGCTGTATTATCCCAGGACATCCGTGGGTAATAGAGCTAATAGAATGGGCACGGATAGCATATACCCTCGATTGTGTTCTGCCAAGCCTTACATAGTACGTGGAAACAGTTTTACCCGAAAGTATTTCATACAGAGAGGAGGAAGGGATCGGTGATGTGGTGAATACCATACCTGCTACCAACCGCGGTTACCCGAGTTGGGTTCCCGGTCATGGCTGACATCAGTGGCGAGTGGTATCTGAACCGGTTCTGGAGCCGTTGCGCCCCTTCACCATCCGGCACTGACCAGCGTGGTGAAGTATGATCAAACAACCCCCATTACCGACACGGTGTGGCGAGTCCTTCATCCAGCAGTGGATTTACAAAGGACCGCAAATTGTTGTTGGTACATATTTCCCAACATTTAACCCTGCGACTCATATTTGTTTCGGTGGCACCTGGATTAACTTCGCCACTTCTTACACAACCCGTCCCACCCCCCTTGTCATCGATGTAAAGAGCCATAATATTTCATGAAAGGCATAAATATAAGCTGTAATACTAATCATAAAAAATACATGTATGGATCTATGAGCATATGAACATATATTGCACGCGTATACCATTGCCGTACATGTGTACTGCGTCTGTGTCACCTTTATCATTGTGTTGTAATCGTTGCAACGGTCTACTTGAAAATAATAAGTTAATATTTCAGGCAAAGCCGCGATGTGGTAAAGCCGGTGAGAATCGCCGTCGCCCTGCTGGTCTCGCTGTGAGAAGCACCACGGTATGCCGTGGTGCCGCGAAACGACAATTACACGTCCCTTGAAAAGTGTGCGCGGCAGCTTCTGTTGATGTTAATTACGCAGTGAGTTATTGTGCAGTATGAAGGTTAGGATAATTTATTTTGGATTATTGCAGCTGCTCGAACTTGTTGAATACAAAAAGCAATTGTGCATTAAAAAAAAAACACGTCCAAGTCTCTCCGTTTGTTCCGCTTGTGTGTCTCTGCCAAGCACTTCCTAGACATTTACAAGTTGGGAAACTCGAGACAAATATGTGTAAGACTTATCGCCACAATTTTTTTAATTAAAAAAAATAATTCACCTGTTTTAAGTGTTCTTGTAAGATCATTCTGCATGCTGTTATTCCATTGCTGGAGCAACATAATTAAAATACACAAATTAATCACTTTTTTTAATGAATGGTTCCAATATTATGGTTAGGAATTTTCCTTGTGATGTGCTGTGCTGACAAGTCTCGATCATGATCCAATTATTACACACGCATTATTTTTTCCACTAAGATTAATGAATGTCATATTTAGCTTTCCACACTGCCGAGAAATCCGCCAAGTATGACAGCAGGTAAAATGCTGTTGTTAATAATTTATTCAGAATAGGATTTCGGCTTCCGCGGCACCAGCTCATTCGCAGCACACAGCATGCTTCCCCCGATTGATTAATTGCCTCGGGTTTGCAAGCTTTTACTTTAAGCCTCGCTCAGGAGCGTGCCTGAGCCACGGGTGCCTTGAGTCACTAGAGATGGGGGACTAATTGTTGTAATCTTCACAAGTCAGCTGGCAATTGGCTGTCTTGCCCATCTCCCGAAGCAGGATGCACCTAATTTATTGGCCGCTTTCCCCACCGCACCAGGTTAATTTATTTTTGTCGTCATTTATTCCGTCGGCCCATTCATCTCCCCCCCCCCTCCCCCCCCCCCCGTTCACCTCCCATGCATGTGCAATATTTCTGGGTTCCACAACATCAAGAATACGGAGTGCACCTTGACGCTTTTCTCGCGTTTTTTTGCTCTCCCATCGAAACCGATATAATGTTGGCTAAAGGCACGCGCGCACGCACATTGCAGTCTGGTCTCTTGATAATGAAATCAGAGATCTTCGGAATATGTTTAGCACTTGCTGCGCCCTCTTGTCAGCTTGCCATAGGTTCACATGAAGGTTTAACCATACTTTTAGTTGGCATATTTGTACATACACAGCCGCAGAGTAAGCTATAGTGTCCTGATAATTGTCAAATGGAAGCTGTTGAAGCAGTGTTTTGTACAGCTCTTGCGGAGTAAACTGCTCTGTAAAGTGGCACTTGACCTGCGCAGTGTTCAGTGTTAGCATTTATCCAACAAACCTGTGCCGGACGACTCCACTTATCGGCTTTCTCCCACAAAACATCTACAACTTGGGTGCGATACAGATCACATCTCGTGCAGCAGGACAAGGTTAGAAGCAATTCCCTGTGTAGCTGTGATCGGGGCAGGCTGTTGGCGGACGCTCAGGAGCGTGTTGATAGGAAATGACGAAGACTCGCACCGTTTTCATATTGGCCACGCGTACAGGATGTTTGCTTCTCAGCGAGTTTTTTTTTTGTAAGTTTAGTTTCTCCCACGAATATTGTTTGTTTTGTTGAGTTAACAAACTACCACCATGCATGCACCACATCTAATTCCCAATCACTGGAGGGATAATGGTGTAATTTTTCTGTGTCATAAACCATGCTCTCCCACCTGCATGCCACTCCCACCATGTATTTTTTTAACTGCATTAGTGGAGGGAGGGTCACATCATTCTCACAAGCATTCAAAGAGAAATACAAACCAATTTCCATTCGATAAGCTAGCTCATTCGTTTTCTTTTCGTGTTATTTTATTATTTTAT